AAAGGTACAAAAGCTGTCACTGGGGCGGTACCTTTTCAAAAGGTAAACTTTTGTACCTTTTAGGTACTAAAATGTACACTTTAGGTACTTATATGTATCTTTAAGGTACCAATATGGACTTAAAAGGTACAAAAGTTTACCTTTTGAAAAGGTACCGCCCCAGTGACAGCTTTTGTACCTTTGTTTCTGAGAGTGTTCTAAGGAACTTCAGTAGAAACATCCGAGGCAAAGTTGATACTTAAATGAACCATTTAAATCTCCAGAGCTATAAAACAGCAACCTCTGAGCTCTAAAAGCATTTTCTGGGATGCTACACAAACATATTATATTAATTCTGGTTCTTCCCGTTGGAATTTCTCAGTACAACTGCATTTACTCAAGAAGTAAAACTAGCAAATAGTGAGAAAACTCTGCTGGGCGTCTTTAAAGGAAACGGAGGCTCCAGTCAGAGCAAACTGTGAAGGCCTGGCTGATATCTAACCCTGCTGTTCAAACACACACTAATCCTGCTGTTAGATTCATAGCATAGTGTGAAGCTCGACTACAGCGCGCTGACCCGTGTTCTGTAGAGGAAAACTGATCCCATATCAGCACTCTGAACTCTGACAGAATGATGCGCTCCCAATGGACTGATAGAAATCCATTCTGCCTGACTCAGAAAAACAGCAGTTTTCAGAAACATCTTGCCATTTCTGTGTGCATCAGATGGTCAGAGAGCACGAGGTTTGAGCTTCAGACTATAATAACCCCATAAAAACGACCTTTTAGAATTTCAAAAATATGGATTATATAGTATAATATTGTGACAATTTTATTCAGAGGCCCAAACTGAGCAAAAATATGCAATTTGGTGCAGATGCTGATATTAATATGGCCAAAATGAACAAATGTGATCCTGGAGCACAAAACCAGTCTTAAGTCGCTGGGGTATGTATAAATCTCAATTTCGAAAAATTTACCCTTATGACTGGTTTTGTGGTCCAGGGTCACAAATAAACGTTTCTCAAAAGCTTCAGTTTAGTAAGTAAACATCTTGAAATATTACTAACAATATAAAAGTTATTCTTATGTTTATTTATATAGCCTATTTCACAGCAAAACAACATATGAACCACGACTTGAAGGTGAACATTTTTACAATTATACTCAAAGGCCTTTTACTTGTCAAAAAAGTATAAACTGTCAACCAGATGACAGAAGGCATGTAGTTTTGGTTGATCCAGTTTAGAATTCTGCATTACAAATTTGATACAGTCGGCTTAAGACACAATTTATGAACCTCAAAGGCTTTGTTTTCATACCTGCCACTGTGAGTTGTGCGGTTCGGCTGCTGATGGTGCCCAGATTGTCGATGGTGGCCACGCACTGGTACACCCCCTCATCAGGCTTATTGTGTTTGGAGTGGACCACCGTACTGATGAGCAATGAGCCATCCACTAGCTGCCGCTTCCGGTCGTCCGCCACCAGGTTCAGGAACGTCCCGTCCTTCTTCCATTCCACCCTCACCGGAGCGTCGCTAGCGGCTGAGCAGTTCAGGACAGCGGGGAGGCCGCGTACGGCTAGCGTGTCGACGGGTTCGACCGAGAACCTGAACGGGGTAAAACCTCGAATGCCAGAACCTGAGGACAGAGAGAAGAATGCGTTAGAGGATTCACAGACTATGCACGAGAAGCGTTTTAGCTTTAGCATTTAAAGGGACAGTTCACCTGAAATGAAGATTCTGTCATCATTTACTCACCCTCAAGATTTTGATTAACCTTCGAAATGCAAAGAGATATTTTAAATAAAACCTGAAAGGGTTTTGTCTCTCCGCCCAAAACTTGGTCATAAAGTCAAAGTCAAAGTCATCGTAATGCGAATCCATATGAATCGAGCAGTTTAATCCAAGTCTTGAGCTAAAATTCAATCACTTTATGACTTTCAACGGAGGGACAGAAACCACTCAGGTTTTATTAAAAACATCTTAATATGTGTTTCAGAGTCTAATGGGGTTGGAACGACGTGAAGGAGAGTAAATGACAAAATTTTAATTTTTGGTAGGGCCCTATGAAATCCCAAATTCTGCTTTATTTTTTTTCCAAATTCCACTTTTTCTGTTCTCTGTTCTAATGGTTAAATTAAATTTTATTCATCAAAAAGCATGTCTAATTAATTGAAATCACGAAACTTACACAATTTAATAGAAATTTCGTAGAAGTTTAACAAAAAAATACATTTAAGGCCCTATATATATTTTTTTTTCTCAAATTAAGTTTTTTTTTTTGTTTTTTACCAAATTTTGTTTTCCATTAGTTTTCTGGATTCCATTTTAATGGTTTCATTCAATTTTAATAATCAAAAGCATCTCTAATTAATTGATTTTAGTAAAAAAAAAAAACGAATTTATTATTAATTTATCAATTTTTTTCCCAGAAATACAGTGTTGTGTGTTTACATTTTTCAGCTAAATAAATTCTGGTAAATATTCCTTAAAAATAATGTTTTAATAAAAATGTTATCATTAGTAGTAGTACTATCATTACATTCAGTAACATATTTCTGTCACAGTTTCTTCAAGTTAAACCGAACTTTTATTTTGATGGGCTGCTGTGAAGACCTTTGAGTTTCTGTTTGTATATGATATGATGATAGTTTTTCTCAAAAGAAACAGTAAAATGCTCATGAAGTGACTCTCAGAGCAGTTCTAGAGATTATGTTCATGTGTTCATGTACTGACATATTGAGGCGGCTTAATATTCACAGACATTAGTCCATATCTTGATTTAAGTGTACTGGCCTACATTTGATTTATTCATTTAAAATTTGGCAAATTCCGTGACATTTTGCGTTATACAGTAAATTCCATTTTTATGACCGGATTCCACGATTCAGTCCACATTCTCCGCATCGAGGAAATCATAGATGTCCAACTTATATCTGGGTCTTGAAGCAACACCAGTTGCATGCAACCAAAAAAGCCATCATAAAACTCATTGAAATGATACTCTCAAAAACACATGATTACAGCTTTCATCGTGTTCTTTTGTTGGCTAAGTGATTTTCATTCTAAAACATTCATGGGTTAGAGTCCCTCACCTTTCCGCTGTGAAATGGCTAAGCAAAATACTTCTGGGAAAAGATATAAACCGACATAATTGCCTGACGTTTATAGTGACGTATAATTAAAAAAACATAACAGTGTTCAGCCACCAACCCGCATTGTTCAGACAGCACTAATGGCCAATTATCTGCACCAGTGGTGTTGTGCAAAAAACAATTACGGCAAGACTTTCCATAACGTAGCAAGCAAGCTGCTCCGTACTTTAATTACGTAAGAAATGACAAGCTTCTCATGTTCGACACAAAGCACAGAATACATAACAATCTGAGACGGAAGCTAATGTGTTCACCGCTTGCTTGTCACGCAAGCTAATCTGGTCCTAAAAATATGTTTTTCGATTACATTTATGTCATAAAGCATTCACAAATTAGCTACTTTAATGATGCCATATAAATCATTTATTGACTCTAAAGATGAAAAACTAACAATGCATCTAGCTTTAACAATTTTAGAAAAACAAGGAATTAGAATCACTGTGGAAAGTGGAAAACCATAAAAACGTAAAAATCTTGACATGTAAACTTGTGTACTCGCATTTCTCAATCTAAAAAGGGACCATGCAATGCATAGGAAAGCCACAATTGCACGCTAATTGTAATGGAGCCAGCTGGGAAACATTTGGACTAACGTGGCCAAACGCGCCCCTGTTTGTGGCTTTGGATGTTTGTCACGGGCTGGCTGTGAGTAATCGGATGGAGTTCAAAATTGCTGTTGGAGGGCAACAGTGATGCATCCTTGACCCAGAAGCCCCCCGAGACAGCCAGAAAATGAGGCTGCTGGGTTGATAAGTATAAGCTGTTAGCCTTAGTCTGCACACTTTGAGGAAAACCCACTTCAAAACTGCCTCAGTCAGCGAGACCTCTCAGAAAGGGGCAAGGGCTCTCCAGGGAAATGGCACACTGGTGAATGAGAGGGGAAGAGAGAGATACTGACACATACAAAGACTGAAAGAGAACGAGAAGTGGCCTAGAACGGCTGGGAAGGAAAAGCGGCAGAGATACAAAAACAAAATCAAGGAAATCAGTTAAAGTGTCACATACTATTTCCTTCCTCCTTCTAACGGACCATGACAAGCATCGGTTTGACAAACTGTTGTATTGTGGGAACACACATGAGTGGCGCAGAGATGAGCATGAAAGGAAACACAATGACGCTCGAGGTGGCGATACAAGTGGGGATTTGCCATCTCTAGGGCCCTTCATGGGTATGTAGCCATCAGCAGAACATTAAACGCTGCAGCTGCACAGCTTACTTACAATTATTAACCTAAGAAAACAAACCAGTAGACAAAATTATGCTGACATACCATCATTTGGCAGAACTAAAATGTGAAATGTGTTATTCATGCACCTCTACTGGCACCCAAAAGACTTCAAAAATAACATTTTCATGTTGATTCATTATTTTATTCTAAAACCACAGTTAAAATAAAATAAAAATAAAATTAATTAAAATGTTAAATAAGTTAAATAAAAGTTAGATAAAATAAAATAAAAAATACCCCTGCAAGTAATTTTGTAAAAAAAAAATGTTTTTCAGAAATTGAAAAACTAAGAAAAAACAGTACTGATAGTAATAGTAGTAGTAATAATAATAACAATAACAACAATAATAATAATTATTATTATTATTATCATAAAAATCACATACTCCCACAGGAAACAAGCTGTTTAAGTCAATTTTAAATTATAAAATATTTAATTTATAATTATTAAAAATGAAAAAAGTGACTTCAAAAGTATTATATCTGAGTAAACCTAAATAAAATAAAAAGACAAATATGTATAGGTGTAGTAAGGCAAATGAGAAGTCCGTCACATGCAAAACATTCAAAATTAGCTAAAAGCAGCACAGTTTTTCAGGATAAATCCATAAACGACTCATTTAGTCATCTCTGCGCATTAAACTGTAATGGAGAATGTTTAATCACCTGTCACATTTAGGCACATAAATGAAAACATCACAATTCTCACTGAAAACTTTAAGCAGTGTTCACACTGACAGCAGATGTCTGTACAGATGACTGGTGGACGCAGAGTCTCTGTACTGTTGGACACTAGCATTCGTTCCTTCTCGACGGCTAAAGAACACAAGTCATTGTATTTGTATTCTAGTACCTTTGTGCACACAACTGTCCTTCAGCAGCTTCTACTGCATCTCCCTTCATTTCACATTCACTCGAACCGACTCGAATCAGAATTAGAAAGTTCTTTCATCCGTGTTTTTCCTTTTGTCTTTTCATCTTCCAAAGGCAATGGCTCTTTTCATTTCTACTTGATGCTTTCAAACGCTTCAGATAAATCAGAATTTGCTCCGTTAACGAACAGTTCCAAACATCAGACGCATTGAGGGCAAAAGGGAGGGTTTTAATGTTGAAAGCAAAGCTGGAGCTAAAACAAAGTGCAGAACCTGTCATTAGCACTCAACAGGTTATAAATAGCTGCTCCTCACACTTCTTCACACTCATCAGCCCGTCACATTGTGTTGTTTTTTCCCCCCACAATCCCTTTTCTGTGAGGCATTAGCATGTTAGGATACTTTACCTCACGCTGTGACTCAAGATTATAGATTCAGAGAGAAAAAACGGCACATGTAATCCATCTCCATAAGAGTTGTGGGGATGACAGGTGGGCCGCTTCACAGCAATAAAAGCGGGGCTCATCTGGGTGGAGTGGGGTTCCTCCCTCAGGAGTCCATTTCTACCTCATAAAACATAAAAATTGAGGATCCCAGAGGGCACATATACCACAATCCACTTCCACACCTATTGGTAACACCGAGAACCCAATACAATCAGAATCTGGGACAATCTATTGATTGAACCCAAGTGTTTCGCCAACTGCCAACTCAGCTAATTCAATTACCTTATGCTAATTCACGGGCTTCAGTTCTATTTCAATGTACAATATTTACTACATTTTTGAAACACCCCAAAATACCAGGCATATATTAATCTATTAAACCATATTTTCCTACCTCAGGCATTCAATTTTGGTCCGAAATGGACACCATTTATTTTCAAGCAAAGCTGTCAGATTTGAAATAATACATGTTAATGTTAAACACATTAACTAAATTATTGTCAACCACCAACCCAATCAGCTAATTCAGTTACCTTATGGGTAATTCTTGGGCTCCAAAGGTAATTTCATTTTCAGAAAGCGCCATAACAATAAGTATGAAAACCATAAAAAAAAATAAAAAAAATCCCCTCAGGCATTGAACATTTTATCATTTTCTGATATGGACACCATTTATCTTAAACCCAGTTACAGAAAACACTAAGGTTGTCTGAGCAAAATTACAAAGAAATTGTGTTTTTAGTAAACAAATTAATAAATAAATGAAAATAATAATATATATACTTAATTTAAATATTATAAATTAAATTTATATATAAAAAATATTTTTGCGATCAAAAAAGTTTATATAATTTAATTATACATCATTTTAAAACAATACAGTTGTCTGAGTAGAATTTCAAAGAAAAAAATCAATCTATCTATCTATCTATATATC